AGGTTAGAGAGCTCGCCTCGTAAGAGAGGTTGGAGAGCTCGCCTCGTAAGAGAGGTGAGAGAGCGCCTCGTAAGAGAGGTTAGAGAGCGCCTCGTAAGAGAGGTTAGAGAGCTCGCCTCGTAAGAGAGGTTAGAGAGCTCGCCTCGTAAGAGAGGTTAGAGAGCTCGCCTCGTAAGAGAGGTTAGAGAGCGCCTCGTAAGAGAGGTTAGAGAGCTCACCTCGTAAGAGAGATCAGAGAGCTCGCCTCGTAAGAGAGGTGAGAGAGCGCCTCGTAAGAGAGGTTAGAGAGCGCCTCGTAAGAGAGGTTAGAGCTCGCCTCGTAAGAGAGGTTAGAGAGCTCGCCTCGTAAGAGAGGTTAGAGAGCGCCTCGTAAGAGAGGTTAGAGAGCGCCTCGTAAGAGAGGTTAGAGAGCTCGCCTCGTAAGAGAGGTTAGAGAGCTCGCCTCGTAAGAGAGGTTAGAGAGCTCGCCTCGTAAGAGAGGTTAGAGAGCGCCTCGTAAGAGAGGTTAGAGAGCTCGCCTCGTAAGAGAGGTTAGAGAGCTCGCCTCGTAAGAGAGGTTAGAGAGCTCACATCCTAAGAAGGTTAGAGAGCTCACCTTGTAAGTGAGGTTAGAGAACTCGCCTCGTAAGAGAGGTTAGAGAGCGCCTCGTAAGAGAGGTTAGAGAGCTCACCTCGTAAGAGAGGTTAGAGAGCTCACCTCGTAAGAGAGGTTAGAGAGCTCACATCCTAAGAAGGTTAGAGAGCTCACCTTGTAAGTGAGGTTAGAGAACTCGCCTCGTAAGAGAGGTCAGAGAGCGCCTCGTAAGAGAGGTGAGAGAGCTCGCCTCGTAAGAGAGGATAGAGAGCTCACCTCGTAAGAGAGGTTAGAGAGCTCACCTTGTAAGAGAGGTTACACAGCTCACCTCAAGAGAGGTTAGAGAACTCGCCTCGTAAGAGAGGTGAGAGAGCTCGCCTCGTAAGAGAGGTGAGAGAGCTCGCCTCGTAAGAGAGGTTAGAGAGCTCTTGCAAAGGAGGTAAGAGCTCACATAGTCGAGGTTAGAGAGCTCACTTTGTAAGAGAGGTTAGAGAGCTCGCCTCGTAAGAGAGGTTAGAGAGCTCACCTCGTAAGAAGGTTAGAGAGCTCGCCTTGTAAGCGAGTGGAGAGCTCACCTCGTGAGAGAGGTTAGAGAGCTCACCTCATGAGAGAGGTTAGAGAGCTCACATCGTGAAGGAGGTTAGAGAGCTCACATCCTAAGGAGGTTAGAGAGCTCACCTTGTAAAAGAGGTTAGAGAGCTCACATCGTTAAGGAGGTTAGAGAGCTCACATAGTAAAGGTGGTTAGAGAGCTCACCTTGTAAGAGAGGTGAGAGAGCTCGCCCCGTGAGAGAGGTTAGAGAGCTCGAATTGTAAGCGACGTTAGAGAGCTCACATCCTAAGAAGGTTAGAGAGCTCATCTCGTAAGAGAGGTTTGAGAGCTCACCTCGTAAAGGAGGTAAGAGAGCTCACATCCTGAGGAGGTTAGAGAGCTCACCTCATAAGAGAGGTTAGAGAGCTCACATCGTAAGAGACGTTAGAGAGCTCGAATTGTTAGCGACGTTAGAGAGCTCACATCCTAAGAAGGTTAGAGAGCTCATCTTGTAAGCGAGTGGAGAGCTCACCTCGTAAGAGAGGTTAGAGAGCTCACCTCTATAAGAGAGGTTAGAGAACTCACCTCATAAGACAGGTTAGAGAGCTCATCTCGTAAGAGGTTAGAGAGCTCACATCGTAAAGGAGGTTAGAGAGCTCGCCTCGTGAGAGAGGTTAGAGAGCTCGAATTGTAAGCGACGTTAGAGAGCTCACATCCTAAGAACGTTAGAGAGCTCACCTTGTAAACGAGTGGAGAGCTCACCTTGTAAGTGAGGTTAGAGAGCTCACCTTGTGAGAGAGGTTAAAGAGCTCGCCTCGTAAGAGAGGTTAGAGAGCTCACATCCTAAGGAGGTTAGAGAGCTCACCTTGTAAGAGAGGTTACAGCACTCACCTCTATAAGAGAGGTTAGAGAGCTCACCTCGTAAGAGAGGTTAGAGAGCTCACATCGTAACGGAGGTTAGAGAGCTCACATAGTAAGAGACGTTAGAGAGCTCGAATTGTAAGCGACGTTTGAGAGCTCACATCCTAAGAAGGTTAGAGAGCTCACATCGTAAGTGAGGTTAGAGAGCTCACCTTGTGAGAGAGGTTAGAGAGCTCACCTTGTGAGAGAGGTTAGAGAGCTCTTCTTGTAAGAGAGGTTAGAGAGCTCTTCTTGTAAGAGAGGTTAGAGAGCTCACATCGTAACGGAGTTTAGAGAGCTCACATCGTAAAGGAGGTTAGAGAGCTCACATTGTAAGAGATGTTAGAGAGCTCGCCTCGTAAGAGAGGTTAGAGAGTTCTCCTCGTAAAGGAGGTTAGAGAGCTCACATCGTAAAGGAGGTTAGAGAGCTCACATTGTAAGAGACGTTAGAGAGCTCGAATTGTAAGCGACGTTAGAGAGCTCACATCCTAAGAAGGTTAGAGAGCTCACCTTGTGAGAGAGGTTAGAGCGCTCACCTTGTGAGAGAGGTTAGAGAGCTCACCTTGTGAGAGAGGTTAGAGAGTTCTCCTCGTAACGGAGGTTAGAGAGCTCACATCCTGAGGAGGTTACAGAGCTCACCTTGTAAGAGAGGTTACAGAGCTCACCTTGTGAGAGAGGTTAGAGAACTCTCCTTGTAAAGGAGGTTAGAGAGCTCACCTCGTAAGAGAGGTTAGAGAGCTCACCTTGTGAGAGAGGTTAGAGAGCTCGAATTGTAAGCGACGTTAGAGAGCTCACATCCTAAGAAGGTTAGAGAGCTCACCTTGTGAGAGAGGTTAGAGAGTTCTCCTCGTAACGGAGGTTAGAGTGCTCACATCGTAACGGAGGTTAGAGAGCTCACATCGTAACGGAGGTTAGAGAGCTCACATAGTAAAGGAGGTTAGAGAGCTCACATCCTAAGAACGTTAGAGAGCTCACCTTGTGAGTGAGGTTAGAGAGCTCACCCTGTTAGAGAGGTTAGAGAGCTCACATCGTGAGAGAGGTTAGAGAGCTCACCTCATAAGAGAGGTTACAGAGCTCATCTCATAAGAGAGGTTAGAGAGCTCTCCTTGTAAAGGAGGTTAGAGAGCTCACATAGTCAAGGAGGTTAGAGAGCTCACCTTGTAAGAGATTAGAGAGCTCGCCTCGTAAGAGAGGTTAGAGAGCTCACATCCTAAGAAGGTTAGAGAGCTCACCTTGTAAGAGAGGTTAGAGAGCTCACCTCGTGAGAGAGGTTAAAGAGCTCACCTCTATAAGAGAGGTTAGAGAGCTCACATTGTAAGAGAGGTTAGAGAGCTCACATCGTAAGAAGGTTAGAGAGCTCACCTTGTGAGAGAGGTTAGAGGGCTCACATCGTAAAGGAGGTTAGAGAGCGCCTCGTAAGAGAGGTTAGAGAGCTCACAGTGTAAGAGAGAGGACCTGTGTTTGATTCCCGGACGGGACAGGACAGAGCGAAGCCTCAGACAGGTTTCCTTCCTCTACACACACACACACACAGACACCGCTGTTTACTGAGCAGTCGGTAGGAACCCGTTTGTTAGTCGATCGGCAGATGCCGTTTCCGGGGTTAATAATCCCTTTCATAAAAAAGTTGGTGACTCGACCCACGACTGCTTGTGGGACGTCACTGTGCGCAATTGGCTGCCACGTTTGGCCCACGAGGTATCCAGTCGGTGCGCTTTGCAGTATATTCTGTGAAGCGCTTTGAGTCGTGCGTTTCTCTCTCTCTCTCTCTCTCTCTCTGCCTCAAACACTTGACACAGTGGAGTCCTGTGGCTCAGTGGTTAGAGCACTCGCTTTGCAAGTGAGAGACCTGAGTTCAATCCCAGGCAGAGGGCGAAACCTCGGGCAAGTTTCCTTACTCCACACAGATCCTAATAATAATCCCTCCAAAAAACCAAAAAAAAACAATAATAAATTGGTCATTTTCAATCTACGACTGTTTGTGGGACATTGCTCTGCGCAATTGGCTGCCGCTTTCGCCCACAAACATACAGTCAATTCACTTTACAGTATATTCTGTGAAGCGCTTTGGGACGTCCTCCCGACGTGAAAAGCGCTGTATCAAATGCGAGGATTATTATTATTATTATTATTGACGTGGAAATGAGATTGAGGGACGACGAGTCGTTTGGAAAAGTAATTTTATTGAATTCAAATGAAAGCCGCGCCGAGGTACAGAGGGTATTAATAGCCAAACAGGATAAAGCCAAACAAAGCCAAATGCGATTTAAATTCGGGTGTACACAGCGCCACTCGCTCACGCTCTCTCGCTCACAACTCACTCACACAGACACACTCACACACACACTCGCTCACTCGCTCACGTACTTTCCCACACGCTCTCTCTCTCTCTCTCTCTCTCTCTCACGCGCAGAGAGGGGTCTGGGCGGCGGCGTTCAATCTGAAACCGATTCGAAACTAACCTCAAAGAAAAACAAGTGTCAATCTAAACCGCATCGGGTTTTCTGAGAAGTCAGCTCAGCGAGGCGTGGGCGGGCGGGCGGGCGGGCGGGCGGAGAGCTGACAGGGAAGTGGACTGTCTTTTCTCCTCCCCTTCTCTGCACTTCCCCTACCTCACTCCGTCCTCTCCATCTCCCCATCCCTTTCGCCCACAAAACACACAGTCACTGCGGCTTCGTGTGTCCTGCGAAGCGCTTTGAGACGTCTCGAAGACGTGATCGGGCGCTGTGTCAAATACATTGATTACTGTTCTCACTTACGCATTCTCTCTCCGTCTCTCTCTTTCTCTGTCTCACTCTCTCCGTCTCTCTCTCTCTCTGTGTGTCTCTCTCACTCAATCTCTCTCTCGCCCTCCCACTCTGTCTTTCTCTCTGTCTCTCTGTGTCTCTCTCACTCAGTCTCTCTCTCTCTCTCTCTCTCTCTCTCCGTCTCATTCACAGTCTCTCTCTCCCTGTCTCTCTCTCTCAGTCTTTCTCAGTCTCACACACACACACACAGTCACTACATTTTACAGGGAGACCTGGGAAGCACTTTGAGGTGTCCTCCCGGGGGAGAGCGGGGCGCCGGGTCAGATTATTCTTATGTTTATTAAACAAGCTTTAGCAGCAAAAGAGAATAAAATTGCTTTTAAAAAGTGCAGCAGATCTTTCTGATTATTTCCAAGTCCGTATCCTCAAAGCTTTTTATCCTGTAAGATAATTAATACAGTTTAGACGCAGCCTGTGAACGTGTGTGTGTGTCTGTCTGTCTGTCTGTCTGTCTGTCTGTCTGTCTGTCTGTCTGTCTGTCTGTCTGTCTGTCTGTCTGTCTGTCTGTCTGTCTGTCTGTCTGTCTGTCTGTCTGTCTGTCTGTCTGTCTGTCTCTGTGTCTCTGTGCGTGTCTGTCTCTGTCCATGTGTGTGTCTCTGTCCATGTGTGTGTCTCACTGTGTCTGTACGCGTGTCTCTCTATGTCTGTATGTGTGTATCTGTGTGTGTGTGTGTGTGTGTGTGTGTGTGTGTGTGTGTGTGTGAAGACACCCGGCTGATCACGCTGACGGGTTTCCGTGCGTGTCTGTGTGTGTCAGACACCCGGCTGATCACGCTGACGGGTTTCCACGTGTGTCAGACACCCGGCTATTTACGTGACGGGCTTCCGCGCTGTCCCAATACCTTTAGAAATCCAAATTCTTGCCGTCAGCAAACCGCCGCTCGCTATGAACTTGAATAGAATCATTCTTAGCCCCAAAATTTTCAGAGCGAACATGTTGAGGAGCGAATCTAAGAGACGCACAGAGAGGAAAATATAAAGTTAGGTGAGGAGTTTGAAATCGATCCTGTACACAGAGAGAGAGAGAGAGAGAGAGACTGAGACGGAGAGAGACAGAGAGGGGGAGGGAGAGAGAGTGAGAGTCACAGAGAGAGAGAGAGTGGAGCCTGGCGATGACCGGTTTTGTGACGAGCTTGAAATCAACCCTTTAGCCCGCAATAAACACAGTCACTACACCGTACAGTGTATCCTGTGAAGCACTTTGAGACGTCTCGAAGAGGTGATAATTCGCTGTGTCAAACGCAAGGACTATTATTCGGGATTATGGTTTGCGAATGTTTTGTGTGTGTAAGTTCTAACCTGAGTTCGATTCTGATCCCTGAGTCACACAATCCTGAGTTGCATTACCAGTAGCTGTCGGAAAAGGAAACTGGTCGATTAGTCTGTGTCTCCGACTGTGTGTGTGTGTGTGAGATAGAGAGAGAGAGTGTGTGTGTGTGAGAGAGAGAGAAAGTGTGTGTGTGAGATAGAGAGAGAGTGTGAGATAAAGTATGTGTGTGAGATTAGAGAGAGAAAGTGTGTGTGTGTGTGATAGAGAGTGTGAGATAGAGAGAGAACGTGTGTGTGTGTGTGATAGAGAGAGAGAAAGTGTGTGTGTGTGTGTGTGAAATAGAGAGAGAGTGTGTGTGTGAGATAGAGAGTGTGAGATAAAGTGTGAGATAGAGAGAGAACGTGTGTGTGTGAGAGATAGAGAAAGTGTGTGTGTGTGTGAGATAGAGAGAAAGTGTGTGTGAGATAGAGAGAGAGTGTGAGATTAAAGTGTGTGTGTGAGAGAGAGAGAAAGTGTGTGTGTGTGAGAGAGAAACTGTGTGTGTGTGTGAGATAATGTGTGTGTGAGATAGTGTGTGTGAGTTGTTTGTTTGTGTGAGAGAGAGTGTGTGAGATAGTGTGTTTGTGAGAGAGTGTGTGTGAGTGAGTTGTGTGTCTGAGATAGAAAGTGAGTGTGTGTGTGTGAGATAGAGAGAGAGAGTGTGTGTGAGATAGAGAGTGTGTGTGTGTGAGATAGAGAGAGAGAGAGTGTGTGTGAGAAAGAGAGAGTGTGTGTGTGAGAAAGAGAGTGTGTGTGTGTGAGATAGAGAGAGAGTGTATGTGTGTGAGATAGAGTGTGTGTGTGTGTGAGATAGAGAGAGAGAGAGAGTGTGTGTGAGAAAGAGAGAGTGTGTGTGTGAGAAAGAGAGTGTGTGTGTGAGAAAGAGAGTGTGTGTGTGTGTGAGATAGAGAGAGTGTGTATGTGTGTGAGAGAGAAACTGTGTGTGTGTGAGATAATGTGTGTGTGTGAGTTGTTCGTTTGTGTGAGAGAGAGTGTGTGAGATAGTGTGTTTGTGAGAGAGTGTGTGTGAGTGAGTTGTGTGTCTGAGATAGAAAGTGAGTGTGTGTGAGATAGAGAGAGAGAGTGTGTGTGAGATAGAGAGAGAGTGTGTGTGTGAGATAGAGTGTGTGTGTGAGAGAGAGAGTGTGTGTGAGAAAGAGAGAGAGTGTGTGTGAGAAAGAGAGAGTGTGTGTGTGAGAAAGAGAGAGTGTGTGTGTGTGTGAGAGAGAAACTGTGTGTGTGTGTGAGATAATGTGTGTGTGAGATAGTGTGTGTGAGTTGTTCGTTTGTGTGAGAGAGAGAGTGTGTGTGAGATAGTGTGTTGGTGAGAGAGTGTGTGTGAGTGAGTTGTGTGTCTGAGATAGAAAGTGAGTGTGTGTGAGATAGAGAGAGTGTGTGTGTGAGATAGAGAGAGAGTGTGTGTGTGAGATAGAGAGAGTGTGTGTGTGTGAGATAGAGAGAGAGAGTGTGTGTGAGATAGAGAGAGTGTGTGTGAGATAGAGAGAGTGTGTGTGAGTGAGGGTGTGTGTGTGTGGGAGATAGAGAGAGAGTGTGTGTGAGATAGAGAGAGAGAGAGTGTGTGTGTGTGAGATAGAGAGAGAGTGTGTGTGTGTGTGAGATAGAGAGAGAGTGTGTGTGTGTGTGTGTGAGATAGAGAGAGTGTGTGTGAGATAGAGAGAGAGAGAGTGTGTGTGTGTGTGTGAGATAGAGAGAGTGTGTGTGAGTGAGGGTGTGTGTGTGTGAGATAGAGAGAGAGAGAGTGTGTGTGTGTGTGAGATAGAGAGAGTGTGTGTGTGTGTGAGATCGAGAGAGAGAGTGTGTGTGTGAGTGAGTGTGTGTGTGTGGGAGATAGAGAGAGAGAGAAAGTGGGTGTGAGTGATTGAGAGAGTGTGTGAGAGAGACAACGAAAGAGAGACAGAGAGACTGAGACAGATGCGAGTGTGTGTGTGTGTGAGTGAGTGAGTGAGTGCGCGCGTGAGTGAGTGTGTGGGACAGTTAAGAGAGAGCACGTGTGAGGGCGCGGGCGCGTGCCTGAGTGATGCGCCTTACAGCGTATCCCGTGAAGCGCTTTGAGGCGTCTCGACCGCCCGATAAGGCGCTGGGTCCAACGCCGGGATTATTGTATGTCGCAATTAACGTCACAACCTACCCACACTTGTCTGAGGCGGTGTGTACTTTGCCTCAGCGCTCACATTTTTCCCCTCGTGTTGTACGATGCACCTCATTCCCGTCGTGTCTTGAGGCACGGTGAGGAACGAAGTTTTATGGTAGAGCTTATGGTCGATTATTGCAATTGAACTGGAGGTGGTGGCGCTCTTCGTCAGATCCATGTCGTTGATATCATGCACCAAGATGCTTAGCTCTTTGGGTATATATTCATCGGCCAGACAGAGGGCTGCCGGGTCACTCGCAGGTGGGTTGCTTTTGATGGCGGGATAAAACATGGTCACCTTCGGATTCACGGGTTTGTTTCGCTCTGCGGGGGATGGAGGGAAAGGGGAAAAGGAGAGAGAGGGAGGGAGGGAGGGAAGGGAGAGGGAGGTTAGTTCAGTTTTGTGTCTGTGCGTCGCTGAGAGGGGGGGGACAGAGAGTGAGAGACTGAGAGAGAAACTGAAGACAGAGAGAGAGAGAGAGAGAGAGAGGAGAGTGAGACAGAAAGAAAGAAACAGAGAGAGAGAGACTGATACACACAGAGTCACTTGACTGACAATCCCACAGATATATAAAACAGTTTGGCCCACAAAACACACAGTCAATTCATTCGACAGTGTATCTCCTGTGAAGCGCTTTGAGACGTCTCGAAGACGTGATTAAGGGGCCGTGGTCAAACGCGAGGATTATTATGGTTTATTATTTATTATTGTGTCCCTTGGTACCCTGATCTAACGAAACATCCATCCACCTCAGTCAGGAAGAGAGGCAAAGAGAGACTGACTGAGAGACAAACACAGGGAGACAGACACACAGAGAGAGACAGACAGAGAGAGAGAGACTGAGACAGAGAGAGAGAGACTGAGACAGATAGAGACAGACACACACAGAGGCAGACACACAGAGAGAGACAGACACACACAGAGAGAGACGGACACACACAGAGAGAGACGGACACACACAGAGAGAGACGGACACACACAGGGAGAGACGGACACACAGGGAGAGACGGACACACACAGAGAGAGACGGACACACACAGAGAGAGACGGACACACAGAGAGAGACAGACACACACAGAGAGAGACAGACACACACAGGGAGAGACGGACACACACAGGGAGAGACGGACACACACAGAGAGAGACGGACACACACAGAGAGAGACAGACACACACAGAGAGAGACGGACACACACAGAGAGAGACGGACACACACAGAGAGAGACGGACACACACAGAGAGAGACGGACACACACAGAGAGAGACGGACACACACAGAGAGAGACGGACACACACAGAGAGAGACGGACACACACAGAGAGAGACGGACACACACAGAGAGAGACGGACACACACAGAGAGAGACGGACACACACAGAGAGAGACGGACACACACAGAGAGAGACGGACACACACAGAGAGAGACGGACACACACAGAGAGAGACGGACACACACAGAGTGATACAGAGAGACAGACACACACAGAGAGAGAGAGACAGACAGACAGACAGAGACAGACAGACACAGAGAGAGAGAGACTGAGACAGAGAGACAGACACAGAGAGAGAGAGAGAGACTGAGACAGAGAGAGACAGACACACAGAGAGAGACAGACACACACAGAGAGACAGACTGAGACAGAGAGATACACACACACACACACAGAGATAAACAAATTCACTTTGCACAGTTAACTTTGCAACAGGAACCAAGCGCAGAGAGATTTAAGATAAGAAAGTCGCATTTAATTCTAAATTTATCTGTTAACGTGCTTTATCAGCTCTCTCTCACCTCCGAGACAGGAGGTTGTGGGTTCAAGACACACAGACACACACACACACACTGGGCTCAATCCGCCCACAGAAAACACAGTCACTACACTTTACAGTGTATCCCGTGAAGCGCTCTGAGGCTATTATTACAACTTGCGTCAGACGAGAGAGAGAGAGAGAGAGAGAGACTGAACCAAAAGGCTATCAGTAATCCTGGCATTTGATCGAGCTTCTCAAAGCGCTTCACAGGACACCCTGCAAAGTGTAGTGACTGTGTGTGTTCGTTTTGTGGGCGAGACACGGCAGCCGATCGGGCCCCAGCGACGTCCCCGCGAACAGCCGTGGGGGCAGTGACCAAATTATGATTGTGTTGAAGCGATTATTTCACCCCCCGGGAAAGCGATCCCCCAATCGACTTAACAAGCGGCTTCCTACTGACTGCCGGGAAACACAGGCGTGTGCGTGTGCGTGTGTGACCTGTCTCTCTGTCTCTCTCTCTGTCTCTCTCTGTCCCTTTCTCTCTGTCTCTCTGTCTCTGTCTCTTTCTCTCTGTCTCTTTCTCTCTGTCTCTCTCTGTCTCTTTCTCTCTGTCCCTTTCCCTCTGTCTCTTTCTCTCTGTCTCGTTCTGTCTCTTTCTCTCTGTCTCTCACTGTCCCTTTCCCTCTGTCTCTTTCTGTCTCTCTTGTTCTTTTCTCTCTCTGTCCCTTTCTCTCTGTCCCTTTCTCTCTGTCTCTCTCTGTCCCTTTCTCTCTGTCCCTTTCTCTCTGTCTCTCTCTGTCCCTTTCTCTCTGTCCCTTTCTCTCTGTCTCTCTCTGTCCCTTTCTCTCTGTCCCTTTCTCTCTGTCCCTCTCTGTCTCTTTCTCTCTGTCCCTCTCTGTCTCTTTCTCTCTGTCTCTTTCTCTCTGTCCCTTTCTCTCTGTCCCTTTCCCTCTGTCTCTTTCTCTCTGTCTCTTTCTCTCTGTCTCTCTCTGTCCCTTTCTCTCTGTCTCTTTCTCTCTGTCTCTCTCTGTCCCTTTCTCTCTGTCCCTCTCTGTCTCTTTCTCTCTGTCTCTCTCTGTCCCTTTCTCTCTGTCTCTCTCTGTCCCTTTCCCTCTGTCCCTTTCTCTCTGCCCCTTTCTCTCTGTCTCTTTCTCTCTGTCTCTTTCTCTCTTGTTCCTTTCTCTCTGTCTCTTTCTCTCTTGTTCCTTTCTCTCTGTCTCTTTCTGTCTCTCTCTTTCTCTCTGTCTCTCTGTCCCTTTCTCTCTGTCTCTCTGTCCCTTTCTCTCTGTCTCTTTCTGTCACTTTCTCTCTGTCTCTTTCTGTCTCTTTCTCTCTGTCTCTTTCTGTCTCTTTCTCTCTGTCCCTTTCTCTCTGTCTCTCTCTGTCCCTTTCTCTCTGTCTGTCTCTCTGTCCCTTTCTCTTTGTCTCTCTCTGTTCCTTTCTCTCTGTCTCTCTCTGTCCCTTTCTCTCTGTCTCGTTCTCTCTGTCCCTTTCTCTCTGTCTCTCACTGTCCCTTTCCCTCTGTCTCTTTCTGTCTCTCTCTTGTTCCTTTCTCTCTGTCTCTTTCTCTCTGTCTCTTTCTCTCTGTCCCTTTCTCTCTGTCCCTTTCTCTCTGTCTCTCTCTATCCCTTTCTCTCTGTCTCTCTGTCTCTTTCTCTCTTGTTCCTTTCTCTCTGTCTCTTTCCCTGTCTCTCTCTCTCTGGGCATGTGTGTGTGAGTATGTGTTATGAGAAGGTGTGCGTCTCTGTTTCTCTCTCTCTCTCTCTCTCTCTCTCTGTCTATCTCAGTCCCTCACCCACCCACCCGAAGACTGGGAGAGAGAGAGAGAGAGAGAGAGAGGGCGATAAGAGTCCTGGGAAGCGCTTTGAGACGTCCTCTATCTCTCAATCTCAATCTCTCTCTCTGCCTCTCTCTCAATCTTTCTCTCTCTCTCTCTCTCCCTCTGTTTCCCTCTGTCTTTCTCTCTTCGTCTGTCTGTTTCTCACAATAAAATCTCTCGCTCACAAACGACAGTTGGTGGGCGTCGCTGTGCGCGAATTTGGGTGCCACGTTTTGCCCACAAACAGACTCTCTCTCTCTCTCTCTCTCTCTCGGTCTTTTATTTGAAGCGTTAAAGATAGTGCGATAGCGTGAACGAGACGCTGAGAGAGGGAGAGAGAGAGAGAGAGAGAGGGGGAGAGAATTCTGTGGTCAGACACACACCTGCGTCTTGAAAGGTTCAGTTTCAACGGCTGTTCAATGTCACCTCATAAACCGTCTCTCTGTTTCTCTCTCTGTGAGTCTTTCTCTCTGTGTCTGTCTCTCTCAGTCACTCTCATTCTCTCTCTCTCTCTCTCTCTCTGTCTCTCGCTTTGAGTCTATAATAATAATAATAGTAGTCCCGGCGTTTGACCCGGCGCCTCATCACGTCTTCGAGACGTCTCAAAGCGCTTCACGGGATACACTGTAAAGTGCAGTGACTGTGTTTTGTGGGTGAAACTCTCTCTCTCTCTCTCTGTCTTTGTCTCTTTCTCTCTGTCTCTCTCTCTCTCTCTCTGTGTGTGTGTGTCTATCTCTGTGTGTCTCTACGTCTCTCTCTCCCTCCCGGTGTCCACGGCTGTTTGTGGGGATGTCGCGGCGCACGGGGGCTAAGCACACAGTCACTACACTTTACAGCGAGTCCCGGGAAGGGCTTTGAGACGTCCTCCCGGGGGCGAGAGAGAAAGAGAGACGCACGCACACACACGTGGAGACACAGAGAGAGAGAGAGAGCGAGACAAAGAGGCCCACACAGAGGGAGACACACGCACAGACCCTCTCTGTCGCTCTCTGTTAAAGCGCTCTTGAGACGCTTGTGGAGTCCTGTAGCTCAGTGGTTAGAGCACTCGCTTTGCAAGCGAGAGACCTGAGTTCAATCCCAGGCAGAGGGCCAAACCTTGGGCAAGTTTCCTTACTCCACACAGAGCCTAATAATAATCCCTCCAAAAAACCAAAAACAATAATAAATTGGTCATTTTCAATCCACGACTGTTTGTGGGACATTGCTGTGCGCCATTGGCCGCCGCGTTCGCCCACAAATAGACAGTCAATTCACTTTACAGTGTGTTCTGTGAAGCGCTTTGGGACGTCCTCTCCCGACGTGAAAAGCGCTCTATCAAATGCAAGGATTATTAAGGATTATTATTTTACCCTGCATGAGAGTTTCGCTGGTTTTGAGAGCGGTACAGACATGTGCAGTCGCACGCAGGCACAAACCCCCCAGACACGCAGACACACACACGCACGCACACAGAGCGAGACAGAGAGGGAGATACAGAGAGAGAGAGAGAGAGAGACGCAACACAGTGTGTGAGAGACAGAGAAATAGACAGAGAGAGCGAGTCAGAGAGACAGTGATGCACACACACACACACACATACACACTCTCACAGACGGACAGAGTGAGACAGAGAGAGAGAGGGAAAGAGACACACAGAGCGAGGGAGAGGCAGAGACGGGGTGGGGGCGGGGGGTTATACACAGACAGCGTGTGAGAGAGAGAGAGAGAGAGAGAGATACACACAGCAAAGGAGACAGATACAGAGAGGGAAGT